AGTTTCTTATGAAGTTACATATACACTTAACAATACAAATCAACCATTCCATTCTTAGCTATTTACCAGAGAAATGAAAACATATGTCCAGGGGTGCCTGGGTGGCTCAGTTGTTAGGTATCTGCCTTCGGCTCAGGTCATGGTCCCGGGGTCCTGGGATCGAGCCCTGCATCAGGCTCCCTGCTCCACGGGAAGCCTGCTTCTCCCTCTCCCACTCCTCCTGCTTGTGTTCCCTCTCTCGCTGTGTTTCTCTCTGTCAAATAAATAAATTAATTAAAAAAAAAAAGAAAACATATATCCACACTCAGATTTGTACACGAATGTACATATCAGCTTAATACACAATAGTGAAAAACTATAAATGACCCGCATGTCCACCAACAGATGAATGGATAATTGTTGTATATCAGGTAACAGACTGCCATTTAGCAACAAGGAGGGAATTACTGATACCCTCAACATCATGGAATAAAAACCAGACACAAAACGTACTTACTGCATGATTCCATTTATATGAAACAGTAGGAAAGGCAAATCTAATTGATAGTGATAGAAAGTACATCAGTGGGCGTATGTGGCACAGAGCTGAACACATAAGGATTAACTGGGAAGGGCTGATGGAGATAATCTATATGTTGATTGTGTTAGTGTGACGTGAGTGTATAACTTTGTGAACCCTCATTGAACTTTACGTAAATTATACTTTGATGAAGCTGATCTTTAAAATTGTTTATATGGTTTAGGGCATGAACTCCAATTTTGTGTAAGTCAGTGTATTTAAAAAAATGCAATAAGGAATGGTCTTCATTTGACAGTTTCAGTATGAGATTGTCTTTTACCTTTTCTTACACATACTAAGCTTTACACACATACATACCAAGCTGCTGAACATGCAGAATTATAGCTGCTACGAAGGATGCTCTGCAGAAAGTCCTCATTTCGTCACCTTCTATTAACTCTCCTTCCTTGCCCTCTTACTTTCCTTTCTCCTCAGCCTTTCCCTTAAAATACCAATAACAATTTACTTTTGTTCTGAGCTTTATAATTACAAAGCACTTCCCAACCTCATTTTTTTTTAAAGATTTTAACCGAGATTTGACAGAGAGAGACAGTGAGAGAGGGAACACCAGCAGGGGAGTGGGAGAGGGAGAAGCAGGCTTTCCGCTGAGCAAGGAGCCTGATGCTGGGATCATGACTGGAGCCTAAGGCAGACGCTTAACGACTGAGCCACCCAGGTGCCCCTCCCAACCTCATTTGATTCTCAGAATAATTTGGGGGGCCTGGGTAGGATTATTTACTCATTTCACAGGTGGAAACAAAAAATGAGGGCCAGTGAGATAAAAGCTTTACTAGCGGCAGCACAGTTTGTACATGCCTCAGAACATAATCAATCCCTCTTTTTTTAGCTTCCTTGTCGTTTTTTTTTTAAGCCCCACTTTATTTTTTCCCCCCATTGTGGTCCCAGGAGTGAGCAGACACCTAGGAAAGGATATTGCACAGGAAAGCTTGTTTTATTTATTAATTTTAAAGTAAACTCTACCCCCAATGTCGGGCTTGAACTCACCACCCCAAGATCAAGAGTATCATGCTCTACTGACTGAGCCAGCCAGGCACCCTAACCCCTCCATTTTGAATTGTTTAGAGTAAAAATCTTACCAAGGTGTAAAAATGAATTTCACTTAGTTACAAGTATAATGATTACCATTATTGAAAAAAACTAAATTTCATGAGAAATTTTGTCTAAAATGTTGGGATATCTGAAATAGACCTAACATAGGCTATATAGGATGTGGGGCTTCAGTAATTATGGAATGTCTTGACAAAAATCCAATCACCTCAGACAGATCAGTCTAGGTCTTAAGATACTTTGGGTGCTAAATATTTATCATCAAGGCCTTATCACTGATGTTCACCCACAAAAGCCTCCAGTGGAGGTTTGTAAAGGGAGAATTGATTCTTTTTGTTCCCTTATATTATAGCTGTATGGTCACTCCCTGAAACCTCCTTTCCTTTCATACCTGCAGAGGACATGTTTTTTTTGTTGTTGTTTGTTTGAACAACAGAACCATCATTTATAAGATTAGGTAACCGAGTCACCCCTGCATTGTTCCTTATCTCTATTTTGTCCAATTCCATTCCAGCTCAAAATCAGCTCTGAAACCTTGTATTTTATAGTTTTCTGAATTCCTTAGACTAATCTTGCCCAAGAAGGCATTATATCTATATTGGCTATAGGGGTACTAGGAATTGGGATTGAGTGAGGAGATACAAAGTTTATCTATTTATGTTTATACTGGCCTAATGTAGCACGTTTTTCTTTAATCTTCACACATTTATTTATTGACCATATGTTCATTTCTGTGTTTGCCACAAAGAGATAGACAATGGTCACTGCCCTGGAGGAGCTCACATCTAAATTTCCAGTCATATAAGTCACATTCTCTGTGTCACTGGCTTGACAAAAAGTAAACCTACAAATAAGTTGGGTGTACTAATCACCCTGCAGCTAAGCTTCTGACAGGTCCTGGAGCCAAGTTCCATGTGTGGATAAAGGAAGGAACTCTGGCTCCCCAGATGGTATCTATTTCTTTCTTTTTTTTTTTTTAATTTTTTTTTATTCTTAGGTTAATCCCCATACATTACATCATTAGTTTTAGATGAAGTGTTCCATGATTCATTGTTTGTGCATAACACCCAGTGCTCCATGCAGAACGTGCCCTCCTCAATACCCACCACCAGGCTAACCTATCCCCCCACCCCCCTCCCCAGATGGTATCTAGCATCCTATGAGCTCTATTCTCTCTGAAGCATGAGACGCAGGCCCCACTCCAGCTTTAGCTCTGCAAAACTTGCTGGTTCCCAGTTCCCAGTACTGAAGGGTAAAAACCATATTTCCTGCCACCACTTCTCCCTTTCGGTTTCAGGGAAAGGGAATTAACATTTTTGGAGCACCTTTTATGTGTCAGGTCTTCTACATATATTGTACGATGCTATAATTGTCACAATTTCATAGTGTACAAGTCAATTCTGGAATCTAAAATAGATATGTAGTAGTGCAAAGAAGACTGGCGTAGGAATCATGAAGATTGAGGTTTCAATTCTGACTCAGCCACCAAGTCATCACTAGTTCATTCATTCCTTTCTTCATTTATTCACTAAAATATTTATTGAACTCTTAGCAGACATTTAAGCTTCATGGTAGGAGATAAGGATACAAAAGTGAATAAAACATAATCCTTATTTTTAAGGCTCTCACAATTGAGGGATGGAAGGAGAGAGGAAATTCTTTTTTTTTAAGTTTATTTATTTTTATTTTTATTT